AAGGGTCTCCTCCTTCCTCTGCCTCACCGTTAGTAAGTGGGAGAAGTGTTTTCTTGTGCGGTGCCTCCCCGCAAATTGCGTCAAGAATCACTGGGCGAGTTCTTGCCATGAGTCAATGCAGCCCTCGGGCAGTCGATTGAACCATTCGTAAGCTGGCCCCTCTAGGGCGGAGAGGAACCAGCGACACAAATATTCATCCGATGCCCCCAACATCATCATGCTGTTTTGACACCTGCTGTAGTGCTCCTGGGGTTCAGTCTTTCCGTCATAGGGCTTGATGAGCTGCCCTCGGTATTTCTCCGGGATCCGGGCCGCCAATACCCTTGGGGTAAATGACGTCCGGGTCCGGAGCTGTATGGTGGGCTCCCTGGAGCACTCGGCTATCTTCTTCTGCATTTCTTCCATCTTAGCCATCATTGCCTCGTACTTGAAGTCTGTATGAGGGGAAGAAGTGGTGGCGTGGGCTTTGGTGGCCTCCATCTCGTCCAGCTGGCGCTGGAGGGCCGCAATGATTTCGTCCCGGGGATCCTTCGGGAGGGCCTCCGCCCCCTGCGAATGGACCCGGGCCGAGTGGGCTTGATTGATTTGATGGCGTGCATCGTCGGCATGGAGAGGTGCCTTGCCCTTGTCCTGAGGGGGACGTCTTTCATTGGCCCTGGAGACGGACCCGCCAGTTTCCTGAGGCCTTTGGAACGCCTTCCCCCCGAGGTGGTCTTGCGCCCCTCCGAGCCTCTCGAGGGCGGAGGTCCGGGGCTGCTCCTTGTCCACATTGTGGCGGTCCCGAGACTGTACCTCTTGGGAGGCCGTGTCTTGGGCTACGACCCCCTCGGAGTTTCCCATCCGGAGGACGGGGTTACCGAGGGGCCGTGGGTGAGGGGGAGGCATAACATTCTCCCCCACCTGAGGTTGGAGGGGAGCCAGGGTGCCGAAGGCACCCGGGTTCTGAGTGAGCGTCTGGATGAAGGTGGAGAGCGCCGATTGTACGTCTATGGTGATGACCGGAGGGCTAATTTGATTTTCGCTCCGGAGGGCATCGGGGGCATTTTGCTGAATCTGCTGGCGTAGGTCGACAGCCGTCTGGTCCAACCCGGTGATGACGCCGCCCCCGGGAGCCCTGTTGGAGGCTTCGGGGACGTTGACCTCGCCGAGGGCCAGGTTCCTGTCTTCTACATTCTTGGAGTTGGCACGAGTTGTTCTCACCATTTTAGATGGGTCTTTTTGTGTTTGGTCGAGGGGGAGGGTTTCTTACTTGATTGTTCGACCTCTCAACGAGAGCACCAAATGATGGATAGTGTACCCGGGGGTAGCTTATCCGAGGGGTTAATGCGGGGAATAACAAGAGAGAAGTCAGAGCAAGTAAGTATAGAGAGAGAAAGTATATTTAGTAGTATGCAGCGTTTATGACTTGGTTACAAATGGGGAGATGGGGTGCTATTTATAGTAGCAATAAATGTCGGACAGGGACACGTGTCAAGCGTCCATTGGCCGAGAGGTCACCTCAACTGGTTGGCGCTGGCAGCCGCATGTGGCCGCATTTAATGCGGCTGTTGGATGGGCCGTTGTACAGGGTACAGTGATCTGTACGCATGTGGCGCGGATATCATGTCGGGAAAGGTGCCCTCGACTGTAGAGGACTAGCCGAGGGCTCTGAGTACCGGGGATCCCCTGGGTGCCGAGGGCTCCAGGTGACGAGGGCTACTGATTTTTGCCGTTTTCCCAGTAACTTTGTTTTGCTGTGTTGGCCCTCCTGTGAGAGTTAGAGCCTTCGGCCATGAGGCCGAAGGCACCCCTGGTGCGCATTGTGGGCTGCTTGGTACTCTGGGCGCCGTGATTTGGGCCTGTTGGGCCTTCTGGGTCTGTTGGGCCTTTATTGGAGTAGTAGGAGTCTGTGGGCCGAGGGTTCTCGGGCCATATACTCCATCAATAGTTTTCAATCATTCAGGTCCTAAATTGATAGTTTTTCATCATTCGGGTCCTATATCAATGCATTTTATCTTTCAGGTCCCGAACTGATAATTAATCTATCTTTCGGATTCTGAATTGATAAAATTCCTTATTATTTCTAAGGAATTTTACAGCCCCTTTACCTGAAAGATAAAAATGTACTTCCTCCGTTCCTATTTTATCTTCCAAATAGTTTTGACACACAATTTAAGATAGTGGGTATTGTATGGTGGAGAGTTGTGCAGAGGAGAGAGAAATGTGTAAGAAATGTTTTGAACCACAAATTCTTTACTAAAAAGGGAAATTGGAAGTTTTAATTGGAACGGACGAAAAAGGAAAGTTAGAAGTTTTAATAGGAACGGAGGGAGTTTCAGTATAGGACCCGATGATGTAAAACTATCAATCTAGGACCCGAATGATTGATAACTATCAATTTAGGACCTAAGTTTTCATAAATTTTGTTATTATTTGTATTTTGAAAAATTTAAATAATATTTAGTTTTATTAAACTCATAAACTTTTGTGAAAAAAATTCATCAAATATTAGCAATGGAATTAATAAAAAATTAAATAAATCAAAACCTATGAAATGCTAGGTCTTAGATCGATAGTTTTTCATCTTTCGAGTCCCATATTGATACATTTCATCTTTCAGGTCCTGGATTGATAGTTTGTCTATCTTTCGGGTCCCAAATTGATAAAATTCTTTTTTCTAATTAAAGAAAGAAAAGTGTAGAATGTCTATTTAAGAAAAGAGTAAATTCCCTAAAAAGTTTTTAAATTTCAAAATAGGAGTATTATGTTTTTTATTCCCTAAATAGGAGTAAATTTCTGCCAAGTTTGGCATTACTGGGCTTTTAAACATGGCATTGTTTTCCAAACTTGGCAGATTACTCCTATTCAAGGAATAAAAAAACATGATACTTCTATTTTGGAATTTCAAAGCGTTTTACTTCTATTTAGGGCAATTTCTATTAAGAAAACGGTTTGATAGTTGTTAAATATACTCTAGAATAGACTACTAGAATAGTTTTGTAATAAACTGTATTAGTTAGAGACTTTGTAAAGCTGCTCTCAATCATTAAGCAATAATAATCTTCGTCATCTCTTTCTTCTTGTTATTATACTTTCTAATATGGTATCAGAGCTTTAGCTCGATCCATGGCGATCTCCAACGATACTTCCAATTCTTCTTCAACTACCAGAAACTCTGGTAATTCCAGATTTCCGGTGATCGACTTTCGCACATCTCGTTTGAAAAAATAAATATCAACTGTTGAAAACGAATTGAAAGTTTGAGGAAATAACACATACAAAAGAAGCTATACCAAATGACTGAGACCAGGCCGCGAAATACATGGAGATTGCTAACCGCAGATTAACATCCAGCCGTATCGCCCCCTCGAAGCTTCCCAGACTGCCGAAAATCCAGTAAAACCCACACTCTACACGAAGACCATCGGTCTGAATGAGTAACTGATGGTTCTCGATGTTTAGGGGGCTTATATACCAGAGGGTTGGACCGGGTAGGTTTAAGGTTTAAATGATTGGGCTGATAGGGTCGTTGGGTTGGGTAGAGTTAAGTATAGATATTTAAATTAATTTGGTTGTTGGTTAAAAGGGTTGGAATTGGGTCCAATTAGAGCAATAAATTGGTGGTCCTATTACTTAGACTATTAAAGTTATCATTTTAATAAAAATACCAAAGTTTTTAAATTTTGTATTTGTAATAATTCTTATTTCTTAATTGATATTATGTAATTAGTTAATATTACTTAATAACAGTTAATATTAGTTGATCAGTTATTAGTCATTAGTTAATAATTGTAAAATCGTAAAATGTTAACGGTTCAAGGTATAAAGTATTGGGCCTAATTCTTAGAGCAGTAAGAATTTAATTTGAATAAAAATCGAATTACTTTAATTTTATATGATATCATTGATTTCTTTTATTAATAATACTCCATATTGGTTGAAATCAAAATTAATTCATTAATAATCTGGGTAATTACGGATTCTAAGATTTATAAATTGTAATTTTTTTCGTTTGTTCTGCAGGAAACGTTGATTGTAGGTTCGACAATAACCATCCTTCTCGGATTGTGGGAATCAGTTGCAGTTCTTCTAAATTCACAAGCCCAGTTGCAAAACAAAGGATTTCTAATATTTTAGCAGACAGGACATATAGTATTTACTATTTCTTTTAATTTACTACTAATTTGTGTGCATTTACAAATTATGCGAGCGAGTATCATTGAATATTTATATGTACATCAATTTATTGTTTGAAAACAAACTTTTTTTCCTGTTGAAATAAATCAAAATTAAGTTTAAATGTGTTTTGTACTATTATTATTGTTGTGGAACGTATGGTAAATGGTTCATAATCAACGTCCATTTGGACTAATTAAATAAATATATTAAAAAATTTAAATAAATTAAATAATTATATAATTAAATAAAAAATAAGAGATACAAGATATAGTATTTCATTTTGATAATTAATGAGTTTATTTCTTTTTTCAAAATGTTTTCAATTATCTTGATATACAATTTTATTTAAATTTTAATATTGATTTTATTATTTTAATACTATTACAATCTATGCTATTGCTTTTTTAATGTACGTATTAAAATAAGATAGTCATTATATATATATATATATATATATATATATATATATATATAATTTTATATATCTAAATATTTATAATATACAGATATATGTATATATGTGCTACTATGCCAATTCATTCTTTTTAAATGAGAATTGCAGTGTTGCAGTCCCCGTTTAAGTCTTCTGTAATAGTGATCACATAAAACGTGAATGACGTGTCCGGCATTTGTGGAATACAACGTCCTACTGCTATTGTACCACAACCTCCATTGCCTCACATTGAGGATGCACTTCCATCAGAAATGAACGTTGGTGAAGGTGAGAAAATAGTGCATTGCATTTCGTGACGCGTGGTAATGACTTCTTGGTTAACATTTTATTAGTTTTGTAGATATAATCACCAGCGAATATTGGGACGTTGGTGATCTCAATTACAATTGTGAACATTGTGGGGCATTGTTTTGGTATGATGAAAGATTGCTGCGAAGTTCTACTAAAACAAGCCTCAAGTATTCTCTATGTTGCGGTCAAGGGAAGATCTAACTACCACCTCACAAAGAGGCTTCAAAAGAATTGTGTGATTTGATGAATGACACAGATCCAAAATCCAAACACTTTGAGGATAATTATCGATCATATAATAGTATGTTTTCTTTCACATCAATGGGCGGAAGGGTTGATAAAACAATCAACAGGGGTGGGTCACCTCCAGTTTTTAAACTTGGTGGTCAAAACTATCATCTCATTGGGAGTTTGTTGCCCGAGGAAGGAAATGTCCCGAAATTTGCCCAATTGTATATCTATGACACACAACATGAAGATGCTAATCGCTTAAACTCAGTGGAGTAATAACCTAATACAAGATAAATTATATTTCATTTTCATTATGTCATTATCCTAAACAATGTTGTACTTTTGTTTTCCAACATTAGGGATGATCAACGAAAGAACAAATCACATGCTGATATTGTGTCTACCCTAAGGCTAATGTTGGATCAACATAACGTTTTGGTCAAGTCTTTTAGGATGGTTAGATATAAGATTGAAGAATGTGGTCATTCTAATGTTAACTTGAAGTTAATTGGCCGAAGAGGTAGGCATTCTAGAACATACAATTTGCCCACAGTGTCTGAAGTGGCGGCTTTGATAGTTGGTGACTTTGATGAATCTTTGGTGTAAAGAGACATAATGGTGGAAACTCAAGGGGGTGTTTTGAAACGAATCAATGAGTTGAATCCTGCTTATTTGGGGCTTCAATATCCACTTCCGTTTCCTTATGGTGAAGATGGGTATAGAGAGGATATAAGTTTTTCAGATTCTTAGAGTAGCAGCACTAAAGGTCGCCGGAGTGTTAGCATACACGAATTCCTTGCATATCGATTACATGATCGTGGTATTGAGAATTCTTTTATCCTCAAAGCTAGGAGATTGTTTCAACAATATGTGGTAGACATTTACACAATGGTTGAATCATCTAGATTAACTTATATAAGATTGCATCAAAAGCAATTAAGATGTGAAAGGTACAAAGGCCTTTTAGAGGCGTTGTTGAGTGGCGAACGAGATGCTTCTACCCAAGGAAAGAAAATAGTCGTACCACTGACATTTGTTGGAGGAGCCAGATACATGGTTCAAAACTATCAAGATGCAATGGCTATATGTCGGTGGACTGGATATCCAGATCTTTTCTTGACTTTCACCTGCAATCCTAAATGACCTGAAATTGTTAGGTTCCTTTCTGAAAGGAATTTGAATCCTGAAGATTGGTCTGATATAATATGTCGAGTCTTCAAGATGAAGTTAGATGGATTGATCAAAGATCTATGACAAAATAAAATCTTTAGTGATGTTCGAGCAGGTTAGAAAAATATGTGTTCTAAATTATTAATAAACTAATTGTTCATGTTATATAATAATTGATTACAATGCCTACTGCTATTTGATGCAGTAGTTGACACTATTGAGTTCCAAAAGCGTGGCCTCCCACATGCCCATATATTTTTGTTCATGGGAAATTCAGATAAATTTCCCACTCCTGCAGATATAGATCGCATTATATTAGCTGGAATACCTGACGAGTCAAGTGATCCTGATTATTTTAATGATGTACGAATGCATATGATGCATGAACCGTGTGGGAGTGATTGCAAAAACGCGTCGTGCATGGTTCAGTCCAAATGTTCTAAGCACTTTCCAAAGAATTTTAATGTACATACAAACATTGACGGTGATGGTTATCCTAAGTACATGAGACGGGATGATGGGAAAATGATTGTGAAGAATCGTATCCCACTTGACAACAAATATGTTGTTCCTCATAATAGGTATTTGTTAATGAAGTATGAGGCTCATCTTAATGACGAGTGGTGTAACCAATCAAGGTCTATCAAGTATCTTTTCAAATATGTGAATAAAGGTAATGATTGTGTTACAACTGCATTTTATGAGACCACAAATAAGGATAAGGATGACTCAGAAAAGCCCGTGGATGAAATAAAATTGTACTATGATTGCCGATACATTTCACCGTGTGAGGCAATGTGGCGTATATTAGGGTTTGAGACACAGTATAAGAATCCATTGGTTGAGCATTTTAGCTCTCACTTTCGTGATGAGCAGTATGTATATTTTGAAGACGAGGATGCAATGACAGATGTTGTACAACGTGAATCTGTTAAACAAAGCATGTTTCTAGCATGGATGAAGGCCGATCAGTATGCGGATGCTAAAAATTTAACTTATGCTGAATTTCCTCAGAAGTTTGTTTGGAAGCCAGTGCCAAGGGAATTTGTTCCTCGGAAAAGAGGGTTTGCTTTGGGTCGAGTGGCATATGTCCCTCCAGGATCAGGGGAATCTTTTTATTTGCGATGTATCCTCAATTTAAAGCATGGTGCTACGTCTTTCGCCAATTTGCGAACTGTTGACAAAGTTTGTTATGAATCATATCGTGACACATGTTACACATTGGGTTTGTTGGACGATGATAGAGAGTACATCGAAGATTTTACGGAAAGTAGTTTTCGGGCTTCTGCATGGGGACTGAGAGTTCTATTTGTCATATTGTTATTAGCAGATACAATGAGTAGACCTGAATATGTTTGGGAGAAATGTTGGAATTTCATGTCTGATTACATTCTTCTTCGACAACGACGAGCTTTGCTACATACAGGTTCTTATACAATTTCAATTTCTTTTTTAACCTGATTTTTGTTTATAATATGGTAAATAAAAGTGTTGTGGAATTAAATGTTTATATGTTTTGTTGTAGAATTAAAGTTGACGGAAGACGAAATAAAGAATTATGCATTGCTTGAAATCGAGACAATGTTGAGGACTCAGGGAAGAAGCCTGAGGGACTACCCATGAATGCCATTTCCTAACTTTACTAACGCAACCATGTTTGAGAACATATTTATTTATGACGAGTTGCAATATGATCATGCCGAAATGCGCGAACAACATGAAAAATGCATGGAGAGTTTGAATGAGCAGCAAAGTGAAGTGTTCTTTGTATATGGGTACGGGGGTACAGGCAAAACGTTTATGTGGAAAACGTTGTCAGCAGCTTTGAGGTCAAATGGTGAAATTGTTTTAAACGTCGCATCAAGTGGGATTGCTTCATTATTATTGCCTGGTGGAAGAACAGCTCACTCACGTTTTGCAATACCAATCAACCCAATCGAGCACTCCACATGCAACATCAAGCAAGGCAGTCCACTAGCCCAATTGATAATTAGGTCCAAACTTATTATTTGGGATGAGGCACCTATGATGCATAAATATTGTTTTGAAGCTTTGGATAGAAGTTTTCGTGACATTCTCAGGATTGTTAATCCTCTAAATAATGATAAGCCCTTTGGAAGGAAAACTATTGTCTTTGGAGGAGACTTCAGACAAATCTTACCGATGATTACCAAAGGTACAAGACAAGACATAGTTAATGCCACAATTAATTCCTCATACATATGGTAAGACTGCATTGTTTTACGCTTAACGAAGAACATTAGACTACAATCCTTAAGTAACGATCATGATTATGCTGACTTGGTTGAGTTTGCTGAGTGGATACCAAGTTTGGGAGATGGAACGACAGGAGGTGAAAATGATGGTTGTGCTGATATACAAATACCAAGTGATACATTTTTCTTCAAAGTGGTGAAGACCCTATTGCAACAATTGCACGCAGTACGTATCCTGATTTTGAAGTTATGCTGACTAACCCGTCATTTCTAAAAGAACGTGCAATTTTGGCCCCAACACTTGATGTTGTTGACTCAATTAATGAGTACATGACTGAGCTAATGTCACAGAGGAATGTAGGACATATTTGAGTTCTGATAGCATTTGCAAATCAGACTGTAATTCAGATTTTGTGGCAGATTTGCATACACCGGAGTTCTTAAATAAGATACGTGCATCCGGTGTTCCAAATCATGAGTTGACTCTAAAGGTAGGTACTCCAATTATGCTTCTCAGGAACATTGATCATTCTATGGGCTTATGAAATGGCACGAGGTTCATTATTACAAGGCTTGGAAATCATGTTCTTGGAGCAACAATTTTAGGAGGAAAATTTGATGGTCAAGAAGTAGTCATACCGAGATTGACATTGACACCTTCAGATGCAAGAATACCATTCAAGTTCCAAAGAAGGCAATTCCCAATCATGACCTCTTATGCGATGACTATAAACAAGAGTCAAGGTCAATCTCTAACGCATGTTGGACTTTTACTAAAAAAAACATGCTTCACTCATGGTCAACTTTACGTTGCGACGTCAAGAGTTACCAATCACAAAGGCTTGAAAATATTGATATGTCATGAAGATGACAAACAGATCGATCATAATACTAATGTTGTTTACAAAGAAGTCATTCAGAATTTATAATTTCACTATGAACACTTATTACTTTACTACCCGCTTCATAGTTTGAAATGTTATATCTCTCTTTTAATATTTACATTTGACTATGCCAAAATAAATTACATTAACACTTCGTCGGCGATGTTACAATTTCTCTTTAACTACGAACGGTTGTTATAGTACTTACCACTTCATTATGAGTTCAATTATTTTTGCGTTTTTATAATACACTTCTTAATCACACTTTGGTAAAATATCATTCGCGCATCGCGCAGGTGAGTATCTAGTTTCTAATTAAAGAAAGAAAAGTGTAGAATGTCTGTTTAAGAAAAGAGTAAATTCCCTAAATAGGAGTAAAAAATTTTTGAAATTTCAAAATAGGAGTATTATGTTTTTTATTCCCTAAATAGGAGTAAATTTCTGCCAAGTTTGGCATTACTAGGCTTTTAAACATGGCATTTTTTTCAAACTTAGCAGATTACACCTATTCAAGGAATAAAAAACATGATACTCCTATTTTGGAATTTTAAAGCGTTTTTACTCCTATTTAGGGCAACTTCTATTAAGAAAATGGTTTCATAGTTGTTAAATATACTCTAGAATAGACTACTAGAATAGTTTTGTAATAAATTGTATTAGTTAGAGTCTCGGTTAGAGTCTATTAGTTTGTTATGACCTAACAGACTCTATATATACTTTGTAAAGCTGCTCTCAATCATTAAGCAATAATAAGGATCTGTTTACTAACAGAGATATTTTCCAGTTTTTCAGAAAACTGGAAAGCTAGAAAACAGAAAACAGGAAACATGTTTACCAAATAAAATTGATGGAAAACTAGAAAAAGAAAAACAGAAAAACGCGTTTACCAAACCGTTTTCCAAAACGAAAAAAATGAGACATGTCTCTCTTTTCCTTAATGAGTTGGAGAAATGACTTTTACTAGTTTTCCAAATTTGGAAAACGCAGATGCTACATGCCGCTGCAATGAGTTTGCATACTTACACCTAGTGGTGGGTCTGGTCCCGCTCAGATGTCGATTTCATTCTGGTACCTCCATCCTCGTACCTTACCCCTTACACCTACCCTACCATACCCACCCAACCCCCACCCCGCATACCCATTTTCCCTACAATGACCCTACTCCCACCCCTACCACATGCCCCTACCTCGGTCCCACCCCGATCCACCCTACCCTACCGCCACCCCGACCCACCCACCCTACCCCCTCCTCGTATATTACCCCTTCCCACATGCCCCCTACCTCGGCCCCACCTTACCGCCATCTTACCCCAC